CGGAAAAGGATGACCCATCAAAAGTGAGAATATATCGGTGCAGTGCTTATGGACGAGGTAAACAGGGTGCAACTTGCTACTATCGCTGTTCCAAATGTGATTCACTTGCGAACAATAAATTGAAAAATTCCGGTATGTTATCTCTTGCCGACTATTTTTTTCAAGTTTTGAGTTTATTTTAGATCGACGAGTGTTGTTTGTCTTCGACAAATTTTTTTTTTTTGGCTTGCTTGCAGGTTCATTAGCAACTGAGCGTACAAAGCGTTACTTTGCGCATATTAAAACGAAAGATGGACGAATAATCGGAAATGCTTATCCAGAACATTTGCCAGAATGTAAACCAGTACCAAAGGAAGTTCAACAGCTTCAGGAAATTGATCGAGCTTGTAGAGCAAGGATTCAAGCTGGTAATTTAACACCTGAAGCAGCGAGGAAATTGGTTAATTTTCTTAGTTTTTCTTTGATTAATTTACATTTTCAAATAAAAGTGCATCTTTATCAATGTTTGTTTAGCTATTATATGGCATTTATATTTTTTCTATATGTTTTAGGGAGCACTGGTTGCACAGAAAAATCGTGAATTGAAAAGACATATTCAGGATGATGATATTTTTCCGGATAAATGGAAATCACTTCCTAAGAAATACAGTCGATTGTGTCATCAAGCAGAAAGGATGAGGAAGCAAAAAAATCGGCGACTTTTAAGGTTTAATTATTTTTTGAAATTTTTTTTTCTGCACAATGGGAAGTTTTTTTTATTGCTACCTATTCTTGTATTATTATTATTAAATTTTGTTTGAGGAAAAGTAAGTATAGCTTAAGACATTAAATCGCATTTCGCATTTTTTTTACATCTGCTAATTAGCAAACCAAGCAAACTGCTTTCTTACAATGTGTAATTATTTTCTAAAATGTATTGTTTCAGAATGATGGCTAATGAACAAGGTGATGTTGAAACAGAAGAAGATCAGAGGTTTGTTTTCGTTTTTGTATATATTATCAACTAAACTATGATTGATAACATAGAATTTCATATTGTGCTGTATGATAATGAGCAAGAAATGATATCAGATGAGATAAGTGATTTCATAAAAATTATAGCGGTATTGCACATGAAGCAGAAATTATGAGCGGACGTTTCAAGCATCCACCGTTGATCATTTTTGAACCGGACGGTCAGACGGCGCGAATTTATCGTATAAATGGGAAATCGGATAAGCTTGGTATTATCTATTATCGCTGTTCGAAATGTGATGTTCTTTGTCGAAGACATAGAAGGATGGGAAATGTTGAAGGTTTGATTAATTAAATGTTTTTCGTAAATCGTTGTCTGAATAAATCTTTGTCTTTTTTTTTCTTTCTAGAACTTTTTATATTAGTTATTTTTTTCATAAAGTTTTTATATTAGTTATTTGAGAAATGATTAAACACTTTGCTCATGCAAAACCACTGAATCATATATCTTACTAGTTACTTATCTTCATGTCTTTAATCTTTTATTACTAAAAATCTCCATTTCTGCATAAATAGCCTTCTCTAGTCATCTGAATTGTTTTCATCATTTTTATTTCGGGATGAGCTATTAAAATTACTGATTGCTCGTATTACCATATATCGTTATCGAAAATTTGAGCTGGAATCTAAAACAATCATATTTAAAAAGTATCATGTATTTGTAGCAGAGTAAAAAGATTTTAATGTTATAATTATTTATTAGATGTTGAAAGAAATAACAATAAAATGCCATCTGTAGGGATGACTCGAGCAACAGTAAAGGTGGAAGAGGATGAAATTCTCGAAAATATGTATCCTGCACATCATGATGAATGTGAAGTCTTTGCACTTGATATGGTTAAAAATTTGGCAGAAAATCTTGATCGCTTCTATTTTGCTAAAGATTACGAACCCATCATTCATGATTCTTCCAAAACGGTCATTTAATTTTTGTCTTTTTTTTTTTTTTTTAAATTGTACAGTTAGCAATAATTGATTAAGATAAGTAATATCATATAATTTTATATTTTTAGGTTATAAAACAGATTTTTTGGATGATTGTAGAGTATGTATTATTATCATCAACAGTTCGGTTAGTAAATTATTTTCCTTCCTGTAAAAGGTCAAAAATTTTTCAGGATCTCAGGTTTACTGATGGTACATTAATCTCAAAAAATCAAATGCCTATTGTTAGTCACTCCACACTTGAACATGTTGATGATGACGTAGTAGTGGACATTAGTAATGTTGCTAATACCGAGGAAGTGGATGATGATACATGGGAAACAACTGTGAGTCAAGATGATGTACTAAATGCTAGGTAAGTTTATTTAACACTTTCATATTTTCAATTGTTAGATTTCACGAATGTCCACAACTGTTGCATAGAGATGGATTGATTTGGTAATAAAAATCATAATTGGATAGTTTTTCAGATGCATTTTCATATTTCCAGTTTTTAAGTTTCATTAATTAATATAATCATATATTATTAGAAAGATTTCACACTGAATAATAATCTTTATGCTTCTCTTAAAGTTTTTTTTTTTTTTTTACGTAATTCGTAAAAATTTTTACAGGGCGGAAGATCATGAAGGACCTATAGGTAGCACATGTCAACTTTATTATGAAGCGAATGTTGAATTACGCAGCCATATGATGCGTTGTCTGGAAGAAATGAGAACACTACGAGCAGAAATGATAACTATGTTAGAAGAAGGAGAATTTCAGTATGTTGAAGTAGATGATGATGGTCATTAGGAAGAAATTACTGATATAAAAATGATTGATAAGAAAAATGATGTGATATAATGTAACATTTATTGTATTTGGAAGCCTTGTTCAGTGCAGGATTAATATCCTTTCTTTCTATTTTTTCATTCTTTTGTTTTTATAACTTCAAAAATTTTCAATTTATATACTGTTTACACAACTTTGGAACTTTTAACTTCATTTATTTTTTATTAGCTAAAAATTTTTATCATTCACTCATATCAGATATAAGGTTGAATCAATTTATTGTACGCTGATATCATATAATGTAAAATGAAATTTAGAATAGTTAAAATTTATGTAGAATAGAGTTTTTCTAGTCTAAACCAAGGTATAAACAGGAAGTGTTAATAAATTTTTTTTTTTTTTTGGAATAAAAATGAAAGATTATAGCATATGATATCAATAAAAAGTGTCAGGTTTTAGAAAAGTAAAATTCGTAAAAAATAAGCAATTAATAGGTAAGTATACAAATTATTTGATGACTCAATTAATTGAAAATATTTTTAATAATAGTACGGTGATATTATTGAATATAATAAGATGCTACGGATAGGCATATTAAGTGAAAGCATTATTCAAAACAATGAAATTATTTATCTGGCAATGACATCACCAAAAAACTGAATTATTATTGGTTTCGAATTTTTTGTATTTATAAATTCACTTTGAAATAACACTGCTTTCATGATTGCATGAAGATGCATTAAAAGCAGAATGATGTTCACATTTTCATATTTTCACTTTTCTTTGCTTTTCTCTTTCTTCATTTTGATAAATTTTATTGAAGCAAAACAAAAAAGAAATGCAAAAGATTGATTATAGAATTGCTTAAATGATAATATTTATTAATTTGTTATTGTGTTCATTTTTTTTTTTTTCATAATTTTATAATTACGATAGAGTAAAATTGAAAATAATTTGAATAACAATAATTGCTAATTTATAATTGTAAAATATTTTTAAACATATTTCATTATAAGTTCAGGATGGTAATATTATACTTCAAATGAAAATTTTATTTTTATAAAAGAAAGAACAGTGATGTGATCATTTTTAAATATCTGTGTAGCTCATTTAAAATTAACTGATTATAATTTTAAAATTATTTAACCTGAACTTGTTATGATTATTTTAAAATAACAGCATTAATTTTATCAGTTTTCATTTTTTTTTTTTTTTATTGAATTTTATGCACAATTTTTTGTTTATTATCACCAATGTTTTCCTCTTTTTTTTTCTTTCCTCTTTTCTTACTTTTTGATTTTCATTTCTTTCTCTAGTAATTTTATCAGTGATATCAAAGAAAAAGGATTTCTTTGAATAATTTAAATTAGAAATGATTTAATGAATTAAATAGTTTTTCATTTAAAGTTCAAATACCGTTATTTTTACTTCGGTTAAAAATGAAAAAAATATATATATATAGAATAAATTAATGAATGAGTTATTAGCTATAATTAGTTTATTATTTGATTATTTTATTTAAAAAAAAAAAGAAAGAAGGTGTTGAAGTTATGCTTTAATTTTATTTATAACTATGCAATTGAAATTAGAAAAAAAAATGAAAGAGGAAAAAGAGTTCGATTTTTTGATTTTGTATTAATGTCATTTCTAAAGCTTTCATCTCTTCAGTTCCAAATTTTTATTACAGTTTTTTTTTTTTTTAAATCTAATAAATATATTTCTAATTTCTATTTATGTTTAAATATGTATATATATATACATATGTGTCCATGTGTTTATTTGATTTTGATTTTTCTTTCCTTTTTTTTTTTTTTTTTTTTGTTTTCAGTAACAAATCGATTTGATTAGTTTCTTTTTTTCTTTTTTTAAATTTACAACAAATTTATTATGTAGTGAAAAAGAAAAAAAAAGAAGAAATTGAGAAATATTTAGTGCAATAAATGGAATTTTAAGCTTTATCAATTTTTTTTCAAATTTTTATACGTCAATTTTAATTTAATAGTCTTGAAAAAAAAAAAGTAAAAATTGTTACTTTTATTTACTTGTATTTTATCAGATAGCTAAATCATATCTTTATCAGTTGACTTTATCATTTATTATCATTCTCAATCCTAAAATATAATCTTTTTCCAAAAAATATACAACAAAAATAGCTATTACTAATATAACAAAATTTTTTATGTGCTTTTTTTTTTTTTAATTTTAATATTTATAATTTATAAAATAAATAAATTCAAAATTTTTGTATTCTTTTTTATTGTGCAGTGATGTCAGATCTTCAAGAATTTATCAATCAACAAAAAGCAAAGAATTCATTTTTTGGTACTACAACTACCCCAACAACATTTTCATCAATTAATGCTCTACGATCAAAATTTACATCAAGTTTGGATGGATTCTCGTTATTACGCTCAACAGATGATAACGATGATGATAATTCTGATAAGCAAATATTGACCGAATCAGCTGGGAAAACATCTGGACAATTACCACAATTCCGAAATCGTAAAAATGGTGGTGCATGGTTCAGTTCTATTTCTAATGATGAATCTATTTTTGGGTTTTTTTTTTTTTGTTTACTTTTAATTTTGCTTTTTTTTTTCTCCTTCAATAAATTCAAATGGATAATTTTATATTTTATAATAATTTTAATAGTATTGTTAATATTAATTTTAGAATGAAATTTTATGTATAAATTAAAATTTGAAAGATGAATTTATAGATATAAATAATTGTTAGTATTATTCTTTGTAGTTTTTATTATTTATATTTTGAATTGATTTATTAATCATTTGTAAAACATTTATTTCTTCTGTAGCCTTCATTAATAACTAAATGAAAACATAGGGAAATTATTTTTTTTTTTTTTTTTTTTAATAATGAATATTATTTCTTGCAGAATGTCAAGAATGCAGAGGATTGTCGCATTTTTTGTATCAATAGGAGCAGCATTTATTTGTTTTGGAATAGTAAGTAAAGTTATTACGTTTTAATTTTTGATAGATTTATAAAAAAATAAAATAATTAGAAATTGTTTCTTATTCATGGTGATATTGTGTTATAAGAAAATGTGTAATTTGAAGTAAAATAAGTGTGAATTATAATTTTTAAGATAATCAATGATATTTTTATAATGTTTAACATTCATAAAAGATAAAAAATAATTAATTAATTAAATGTCTATTATTATTATTATCATTTTCTTTTAAAATAATAAAAATATTTTTGTAGGCTGTCATCTTGCTTCCTACTTTAGTTATGCAAGCTCGAAAATTTGCAGCTTTGAATACGCTTGGTTCGATTATGTTAATTTTAAGGTTTGTTAATTAATTTATTTCATCCTCCTTAAACATTTATTTTCTTTTTTCTCATTACTAATTTAATTACTACCTTGTAAATCATAAAATTAACATAATCAAACTAACATATTAATATAATAGTTAAATATTTCTGAAAAAGATCTTATATTTACTTACATATATATATGGTTGAAATATTTTCTAATGAATATTCAAATAAGACAGTCTTTGATCTAATATAAATTTACCATTTTTTTCCGACGCAGATAACATTTAGACTATCATCAGTAGATAGATTTGAAAATATGAAATAATTAAACGATCTGTTAGCTTTTAGTCATTTAATGAATTTAGTTATGATAATAAGATCAATTATTCTTCATTCATTAATTTACCTATAAATGAGAAAAAAAATTTGAAATAATTTTTTTTTTTCAATTTTTAATACATTTTTTTTTTTTTTTTATAGAAAATGATTGAAAATTATTGTTGCTTTTTTTTTTTCTTAATTCAACTAGTAACATTTATTTTTTTAGTTTTGCTTTTTTATGGGGACCAGTAAACTATTTGAAACATATGTTTTCGGAACAACGAAGAAATGTTACAATTGCTTATATCATAACACTTGTGGCAACATTATATTTTAGTTTATGGGTATGATTATATCTTTTTTTTTTCCTTCTTTAAATTTTTTATCTTTTACTTATATGATAATGTAATTAACTAATGTAATTTAAGCAATATAATTTAATCATCTAATTAGGTAGTATAATTTAATGATAATCTAATTAACTCTTCCAAACATTAATTTCCTAATCTTTTTTTTTTTTAAATAAATTAATCATCGATCGTATGTGAGTGAGTGAGTGAGTGTATACTTGTTTAATTATTATTTATGATTTTTTTTTTTTTTTTTCATCGTAGATATTTTATAACTTATAGATGATTCTATGGTAGAGTATAAATGGTCAAAAGTTAATGTTATGTTAGTATTAAAAGAACAATGCTTAGCATTAAGAGTGTAATAAATTTTTTGCTAGATAATATTACTTATTATCTTGATATACTTGTTAACATTTATTGCTACTTTAAGAATTATATAATGATTTTTAAAATTTTATGATACTAATTCAATGGATTTTAGGATTTTTAAACTTTATGTTTGTTTTTTTTTTGCAGTCAAGTTTGTTTGTTTTAAGTTTTTATTAGGTATATGATGATGAAAAGGTAGTTGTAGATAGGTTGCTTTATGGCAAAATAGCTTGATCATATTTGAATTATTTATCATTTTCTTAATTCCTTTTTATTGCTTTATGTTATGAAAAAAATAAAAAAGGCATTTTGAGTTTGTTGATTAGTCGAATTTATTTTGAATGTATTACTCTAATTTATTACTTTAAATTACTAACTTAAAATATCAACTTTGATTTTATTTAAGATATCATCAAAAGCATTTCTAACTTTACAAGTGAGAAAATTAGAAAGAAAAGAAATGCAACCTATAGATAATATATAGATAATTTGGTGCTTTTTAAAATGCATTTTGAAAAAGAATAACAATCGAAGATTTATGAAAAATTCTAATTTCTTTTTTTTTTTTATATTCTATTGATATTATATTTTCTTAGTGCTATTGGAGATCACTGAAATGATTCAGCAATTTTCTTTTTTTTTTTTTGTAATCGATTTGAAACATTTGTTATCTTTTGTGTTTCACAAAAATGCTTTTACAATTAAAACGATTTTGTTTCTTTTTTTCAAAATTGTTAGTGATTAATACTTTTAAATTATTTATATATAATCAAAGAATTCGTTTGGTCTAGATGCTAGATAATTATAGGTAATTTTAATCTTATTATATTTGCTATTGACATAAAGGTAACTAGATAATTAACCTGTATCATATATTGAGGAAATGAAAATTAAAATTCTTATATTTGCTATAAAGTTTTCATATGAAATGAAAATGAAACAAAAAAAAAAAATGAAGAAAATGAAACAAAAAAAATGAAAATAACTTTTGGATATTTAAATTTTACAGTTAAGAAATTATCATTTATTTTAATTTTTTATTTGGTTTATTTCTTACTTTCATTATTAGATCGAATCTTTCTGAATCATTTGAAAAGAGAAATGATCATCCAGCATTATCAATTTTTTTCTTTTCTTTTTTAGCTTTTATTTTTTTTTTTTAATTTCATTTTTTTTTTCTTTTCAAACTAACATCAAAAATACAAAATGCAACATTCATCTACAATGAAAACATACAAATGATTTTATCATTGATCAATATTTCCAAATTGATAAATGTTTAACATCGATCACTGTTCATTATAAATCATTAAGTCATTCATTTAATTTTTTCTCTCTTTTTTTTTTCTACATGTATACTTTTAGGTAACAAAGCAATCATTTAATGATTAACCAAAGAATAAATTTCATTTCATTTCTTTTTTTTGAAATAGAAATTAGCAATAATTTCGATATGTATAAATGATACTAACTATAATGTTGTATAACAGAGATATTTTAATTAACTGATTTAAATTGGTTTTTTTTTTTTTCTTTAATCATTACTGATTGAGTGATTATTTACTGCAATCGAAGTCGGTGATAAGAAGTTGATAATGTTAATTTATGTTGATAAACGGCTAAACCATTGTTAATAAAACGCTAAGCTGTCATCATTTTCACGAATTCTTCATAATTAATCTGAAAAATTTTTATTATTTATATATATATATATTTTTTTTTATGCTAACTGCTTTAAGCTATGACTTGCATTCCGTTTTTCTTTTTCTTTTTTTTTTTTTTTTTTAACTTTTAATATCATTTTTATTTTTCATATTATCAATCCCCATTACTAACTTTAATATTTGATTTTTTTTTTTTTTTTAGTTTCATTTTATTCCCTTGAGTAAGAAAAAAAAGTAATGATATCTTTTGGAAAAAAAAAAATTTTTTTTTTTCTTCTCTCATTATTTTATTTTTTTTAAATAATATAAAATTATAAATAAATATTTTATTTTTAAATAATAAAATTATAAATAGTAATGAGGATTGATAATATGAAAAATAAAAATAAATATATATAAATTCTAAATATATATAAAGTCTACTAAATTATTATTATTGTTATTATCAATATTATTGTTATTATTATTAGATTTTACATAATAAAATGCTAATATTTGCCTATCTATCTATTATACCTTTTATTGTATTAATAATTTATAATAACTTTTACCTGTCCATCACCAAATTCATATATATTGCTTTATACTAATACATATTTACATATTAATACTAATGCTTTTTTATACTAATTTCTAAAAATTATCAGTTAAATTATGATTAGTTTAGCATTTTTATATAATAAAATACTGAGTGAGATACTACCTGTCTATCTACCTGTCTACCTATCTATCTACTCTATTATACCTTTCATTTGCATGAATAATTCATAATAAATCTTACCTGTCCATCACCATCAATATCAACTTCAGCCATAATTTCGTCTACTTCCTGATCACTAAACTGTTCACCCATATGAGTCATAAAGTATCGAAATTCTTCAGCCGTAATATATCCATTACCATCACGATCGAATACTCGAAATGCTTCACGTATCATTTCACTATCATTCTCCTTTAAAAAAGTAAATAAATAAATAAAAAAGTAAAAAGAAAGTGAAAATTCTATTAAAACTTTTTTTTTTTTTTCTATACTATAGTAATACCCTTTTTTTTTTTTTTTCTTTAAAGTACATACCTAAGAAAATTTAAAAAAAAAAAAAAAAACGAAAAGAAAAATAAAATAATATTCCCACGAGATGATAACTTTTTTTTTTTCTTTTTCGAATCAATTTTTAGCAATTTTTTTCTTTCTCTTTAGTTGAGATTACTTTATTGCATTGCTATGATTTTTTCTCGAATAAAAAAAATTGTCAATTTTGATTTCTCTCTCTCTCTCTTTTTTTTTTTTTTTTTTTTTTGTGGAATTTTTATAAAATTTTTATGATTTATACGAATGAATAGAGAATGACTAAGAAAAGAAACAGAGAGAGAGAGAGAGAGAGAGAGAGAGAAGAAAAAGCAAAAGAAAATGAAATTGAAAATTTTAATAGAATTAAAACAAAAAAAAAAAAAAACATAAGCTGAAATTTTTTTTTCAATTAATTTTTCTCCTCAATAAACTATTAACTATTATACTTTTCATACTTTTAATAATTATTATGTTTTTTTTTTTTAGTAATAATTATTAAAAGTGATTGATTTCATTAGCTAACCGACAATCAATCGATAATCGATAATCAATATCACTAACTAACCTTACTCATTCGTTTCATCATTTGACAAAATTCCGGAAAATCAATTGTACCACTACCATCAATGTCCACCTCATTGACCATATCCAGTAATTCCTGTTCAGTTGGATTTTGTCCGAGTGATCGCATTGCAACGCCAAGTTCTTTTGATGATATTGATCCATTTCCATCCTTTAAATTTTAAATTTTAAAATTTTTAAAAAAAGCAACAAAAAAAAAAGGTAATATTATTATAATTTCTCATTTATTTATTTAGCTTAAGTAAATTTTTGCATACACTTATTTCTCTTAAATTTTTTTTTTTTTTTAGAAAATTTTTAAAAAATTATGTTTGTTTCCATTTTTTTTTTCTTCCTGCTGATACTAAACATTTCTAACAATTAATCATTTTTTTTTTCAATTCTTCTTTTTTTTTTCTTTTTAAACTAAAGGAAATTTTTTTTTTTCTTTTGCTAAAATGCTTTAATAATAATTTTTTGTTGATGAGTTGTCACTTGAATAATGATATATATATATATTTTTTTTTTTTAAACAATTCAGTCTTTCTTTATATTTTATTTGCTTATTGTTTAGTAATTCAATTCAATGACAAATATATTTCATTCATAACTTAAATATATATTTATACCTACCCTAAGTGTACATTTATTACAGTGAATCTAGTAGATAAGCAAATAACTTTTAAATTTTTTGTGAATCCCTCTAAAAAAAAAAAAAAAAAAAGTTAGCTTATTGGAATTTAAATCCATTAAAATTATAGCAAAATTAAAAATTGAAATGAAAAATTACTGACTGTAATTATATCGATCAAAAAATTACAAATGATAGTGTAAAAGATAGGTAGGTGAAATTTAAAAATTTAAACTTTAAATCTTTCTTTTTTGAATAATTGTTTCTTTTTCTTTTTTCTTTTTTTTTTTAATATTTTATACTAACATTCTAACTATATTAAAATATTAAAAATATTTATTAAAATTTTTGAAATTACAAATCATAGTATAAAAGTCATAGATAGGTGAAATTTAACAATTTAAATTTTCAATAACTGTTTTTTTTTTTTACTAACATTCTAACTCATATCAATTTAATATTTTAATTCTTCAGCTTATTGGAATTTAAATTCATTAAAATTATAGAAAAAATATGACTATGATTATATCGATCAAAAAATTACAAATCTGGTATAACAAATATAGGTGAAATTTAAAGATTTAAATTTTGAATAACTTTTTTTTTTTTTAAACTATTTTTTACTAACATTCTAACTGATATCAATTTAATATTTAATTATTTTCATTTCAAATTTCAATGTATGATATTTTGAAAAAAAAAA